TTTTTTTTTTTTTTTTTTTTTTTATACGGGTTTTCGGGCAGGATAATTTTAGTATTACCACTTATTACTTCTTACCAAAATTCATCCGCTGAGCCCCCAATATACCGATAGGCACCATAGCTTTGCAGTTGAAATCAAATACAACGTCCCAAATCTGAGGTTTTTCTCTACCCCAAGGAACTTTAATAGTACCACCCCTACATAAACATGATTACAACATTGCTCTATGTCTTTATCTCTCTTTGTCATGTCTTTCAATGCCACTCTCCCTCTTTCTCTCTTCATGCAAAGTGGAGCTCAATTGCCAGCTCCGTGATGAGGTCTGAGGGGAAAGGTTACGACCCTCGAGAGCAGGCGCTTGCAAAAAGCTTGTGTTATGGCTGTACCAATACCGGTTCGGTTCTGCGAGGCACGGCAGCTCGGCCCTCAGACGTTGCCACCAGAACTTTTGCAGTTCTGGACATTGTACGCATTTCTTTGTAGGATCTTTTCTGCGCTTCTTTGATATAGCCAAGGGCGAGCATTGCTGGAGCTGAAGTGGCACGGCAGCTTGACGGAGACCTGGAAGAGCGCGCTGAGGATGCAAAGCACGCAGCGGAGAAGGCCCTCCAAAAGTTTGGAAGCCTTCCTGCTTTTTTTCTACCCATGTTCATTGGAGGTCGCCTTGGACCTGGGCTTCACACAGCCGACAGCGGACCAGGAGGGTGATCGGGCCAAACGCCTGGTGCTGGAGAACGGCCAGGCGCGATGAACAAGCCATGTCCAATTGTCTGCAAAACGCCTTGGAATGCTTTGGGTTGGAAGGTGGGTGGAAATGCCGAAGAGGTTGGATCAGAGCTGGGTCCTTCAGCCACTGTTTCCGCAGACGCAGACAAGCTGGCAGACCGTTTGGGAGAGAGCCTGGGAGCCAGCGCACCTCCGGAACCAGACAATGCTGGTGACGGTGCTGCGATGGTTGCTGCAACAGGTGCTGGCCTGGCGAAGCGTCTGGAAGGTCTGGGAAAGGGCAGGGATGGCACCTCGCTGGGATCAGCGGAAAGCTTGGACGGAGAGGGTGACTCAGGAGAGGGATTAGAGGCCCCTGCGCCAAAGTCAGACTCTGGTTCAAACTGGTGGGACAACCTCCTTGTGCAAGCCCCAGCTGCCTTGTAGACCAAAAGCAGTCTGACCGGAAGCTACGCCAAGGTTGACGTTATGCTCGGCCTGGCTGCTCTCCTTGCCGTTGCGGCCTGTGGCGTGTGTCTCATGTCCATGATGACCAGCAGGCAGGGCGCAGTCGGCGCAGTCAGCACAGTCAGGCATGATTTAACCACTGTCTTTCGTTGCCCAGTTCCAGGCATCATGTCAAGAAGACAAAGCGCCATGTGGCTCTGAGCGCGGAGGCACACCAAAAAGTAGAGGCTTTGCAAGATTTGCAAGTTTGCCGGCTGAAGCAATGCATCCAGCTCAGGCTCAAGCATGACCCAGTCTGACAAACTTTAGCAGATGCATTTGCCATGGCGATTTGCTGTGCAAGCCTTCTCCTGTTTCTGGGATGTGGCCGGGCAGCGCGCTTGGATGAAAGGCATCAGGACAGCGGCTCCATGAAATGGTCATTGGAGTCATGGGACTGCATGCGGATGTCGGGAAGTGGGTTGGTCAGGACCTCGCCGTGGCTTTGCCAGCAAATGGGGGCTCCATGGAGCGCCAACTAGCTTTTGACCACGCGCAGCTGCAGATGTTACAGGACCACTTATTGAACAAGTGAGCTGCGGGATCGGAGCTGCGACAGATTTTGTCGCTGCCAGGAAGGAGTGGACATGCCATTGACGCCAGGGCCCGAGACGGTACATTACTTGGCTCATTCCAGATTGTGCTTTGCTTTTGTGTAAAGTATGAGTGTGCAGGAAGGCTCAGATGAGCTTGGTGGAGAAGAGGGAGGTTCTTCGACATGCATCTGGTCATTTCCCAAAGCAGTGGGCAAGCAGGCTAAAGGTCATGAAGATCCTTGGGGAGGGAGCCTTTGGGCGGGTCTTCCTATGCTCAACAACCTGTGGCGGCTCCTCGATGTCAGTTTCAGTGAAGCTCGTCCAGGGCTCGTCGACGGCCGAGCACGAAGTTGACATGATGCGCCGGATGTATGGTTTGTCCGACTACTGCGCCTCTACCATCGGGGCTCCAGACTACGTCAAGACTCCATTGGGCGTGTGGATAATGATGCCATACTTCAATTCTGGGGACCTTTTCGGTCTGGTCAAGCGATGCCATGACGCAAACTGCGCGTGTGGCAAGGAGCTCTGTTGGGACAAGCTTGGCTCGAATTTCAGCAAGGCCTATGTCCCCTGACGTGTGCAGTGTGCAGCATTAGTTTGCCTCTTTCTGTTATGATTTTGGAAGTTTTGGTCGCCGCAATGCATATGATTTTTTTACCAGGACTAGGGGTCTTAGTTTTGCAGAAGCACAAATGGCTTTACAAGCGGCCCCTGCTTTAGAAGGGTTACAGAGGAAAATTCGAACAATGTAGATGCATGTTTAAGTGTGACCAGCACGGGTTCGCCACATTGTTATAGATGGGCCAGTGGTTATGGAGAGGATCTGTCATGCTTTGGAGACGTTTGTAGGCACTATTTCTTCTAAATGCAAAAGGGAATGAGCTGTACGCACCCATCATACAAAGTCCCGCAGCTTCGAGGAACCAATTCCACAGGACCCTATGGCCTCCAGCCCTTCCCTGCTGCAAGACTTTCCCAATCACACGCCAGAATCGGAAAGGGGGTGTCACAGCGTGGTAGGTAGTTATTCCAAGGTACTTGCACTTTTCTACCAGGCCGTGGAGGGTGTGGTGGCAATGCACGGCCAGGGTTTGGTGCACAGAGATATCAAGCTTGAAAACATCATGGTCAGCTGCAAGGAGAACCGGTGCTATGCAGCCGTCATCGATCTGGGCCTTGCATGCGAGGAGGGTGCTGCTATTGACACCGGTGGCACGCCAGGCTATATGGCCCCAGAAGCATGGGACGTAGCTGGAAATGGACATGCAGCCGGTGATTTTCTCTTTAGGTGTGGTTCTGTACCGCCTGCTGTACAGCCAACTGCCGCCCTTTCACTTGGACAAGTTAGGCATCCAGACGAAGCTTTACAAGCCAAGCGAAGATGAAACTTTCAAGGGTCAGCGAACGCAGCTGGATGACCTTGTGATGGCCATGTTGATGCCCGACCCGGAACGACGAATCTCCATCATGGGTGTGTTGAAGGACTTGCGATCCGCGATTGAGATGGAGAATCCGCCGAAGTATGTTCTGTCCATGCTGTCAAGCAGTCCCACCCAGCGGCGGGCCAAGGATCAGATGCCAGAATGCCTTTTCCAGCAGCCAAGCGGGGATGTCAAGGATGTTGGCGACAAACCATTCCATCGTCTGGATTGCGCAGATATCCCACAGGAAGCACGCTTTAGGTGTGGCTTCTGCCTCCTGTGCAACCGTTGTTGCACTTGCTCCGTAAAACGCCATGGCACCCTGGTGCCAGAATTCTTTCGGATGGAGTCTTGCCAGTAATGTGGTAAGAGCATGGTCTCAGCAAGCTTTCTGACCAGATGCAGCTGCAACCAATCACGGCCGTGCTTAAAACAGTCCATTCTGTGTGGCATGTGGTAATGAATGCTGACACGAGAGCAGGACTGACTTGGAGTGTGGTGCTCTGCTGCAGGTGGAAGACGAAGAGAAGCGACCGCTGATGGCCAGCGAGGCTCCGACAGACAAGGCCGGAGCCCAGGGACAACCTGACATGTCCTGACATGTCCTGACATGCGGGAACTTGCCAGGCACAGGCTACAGGAACCGGTGGGCTCGAGCTGCCTCGCATCGAGATCAATGGTGGGGCAGGGGCCTTGCCAGGAGGTGCCTGGAATTCTGGAGCATACGGTGGCTACGTGCATTATGGTGGGACTTTGGGTCCCTCCGCCCCCTGCGCAACAGTCTCCGGGGGAATTCCCTGTGCTACTTATGCTGGTGCCGGTGCGGTACCTTACGCCACGGCTCCAACCTTGGCAATTCGCACTGGTAGCGTCGCAGCTCCAGCAGCCATTTCGACCTCTGTTCCTCCCTCCACTACCAGTGGCTCGCCTGGAGCAGCTGCGGCACAGGTTATGACCATGAGCCCGGGACTTATCGTCTAGCCCTGGAGTCTCGCGGCCCTCAGACTTAGAATTTCGGCTGGGCTGAGGCCTGAACAACGCAGCTTCTGCTGCCTCCCCGGCGCTCACCAGCGCACCGCTGCAACTTCTGCAAGGAAGGGGGCTACCCTGTTGCAGACAACTCACAGTTAAGCTGCGATCGTTCAAGTTTCCCTGTGCCAGAACGGCAGCTCAGCTCGGGACAAATCCCAGCATTCGCCACGCTCCATGCTGCTGGCCATGAGGTGCGGCAGATCTCCTACACGGAGACTTGGAATAGACATGTAGACTCAGAGGATCCAGCCAGCCTGTTACGCGAAACCCATGCTATGTAGTGAGCCTTTACATTTCAGAATGTTTGAAACTGAACTTCAGTTGCGAGCATTGTGAGGTCAGGTCAGGCCGGTTGGAAGGCCGGACCTGCAGTCTGAGCATGCGTTGGGGCCAAGGAGTGGCACAACTCCTGGCAGCCCGGCCTTCCCCGCGATGTTGTGTTCACCATCCCTGAGGGAGCTGTAGAGGGAGCGGCCCTTGTCGTCGAGGCCAGGATTTTTCCATCTGGCAGGGTAGACTTCTTTGCTGTGCAGCTCAGGTCGAGCCTGGAGTGGTGGTCCCGACCACAGTTCCCGCAGGCAGGGTCTTGCCAGGGTTGCAGTGGACTTGGCAGCTTCTTTCTCATGTTTTCGACTGGCCCATCCTGAACATCAGGCGCATATCCAGGGGCATTGGCCTGCCTCCAGCGATAAGGCTGAAGTGTGAAGTATGAGCTGCTGATTTGAGTTGACGGTCTCTTCTGAGAAGCTGGGAGCAAACCTAGCAGCATGTTTTGCAGGAGCAGCTGCGCGTGAGAGCTCCTTGAACCAGGGCAGCCTTGAAAAGGCCAGCCACAAACTGATTGATTCGGCATAGGTAAGGCAGCAGTCGGCCGGACCAACTAGAATCTAGCAACGCTGGCGTGACAGTGCCCAAGCCTGATGGCAGCGCAGCAAATTTGAGATGCAAACCGGCTCAAGCAAAGCAGACGGGATGCTAGCTAGATTCAGCTAGATCTAGTGAAGCAGCAAACCGTTGAAAAGCTGTCCTGTAGCCACAGTGAACCCTATGCAACAGAGGACTCGGCCGCGTTGCAGAGCAGACGGGATAAAAAAAGGGCAGTCTCCAAAGTGTGGCTGCCTCCAGAAGGCTCAAATCTTGGCCAGTTGCTGTTACCGGTCCAAGGGCTGTGAATTGCGTCTGCGCAGTTCGAGAGTCACATACTCTCCAAGATTTGACGCCTTCTCTGCTGCCTCCTTCCTTCTGCAGAAACGTTGCAGAAGGCAGGTGAATGTGTGAGTGTGCGAGTTTCCAAGCGATTAGGCGAAGCGTAGGCGAGTCAGCTGGCTGTGGATGGCCACTGAAAAAGGTGAAGAAGTGGAGTTGTTGAAAAGTTGACATCCGAAATCCATGGCTGGCCAATGTGCGAGGGCTCGACTAGCCGACTAGCCGCCTAGACACTTATGGCTGGACTTGAAACAAAGCCTTGCGACTTCCATCAGCAATGCTTTGGTTGTGCCTGCATAGCACGTTCTCTTGCTGGTTTCTGAGCTCCTCTCGTTGAATCTGCGGCAGCTTCATCCCTGTAATGCCCGAGGTGGTAGGCCCTCGCCGCACATGACCTAAGAGAAGTCACCAAGTGTGGAGACTTGCCTTGGAGCAGTGGTTGCAGACTGGCAAGCAGCATGGCGCGGCGTGCGGACTGGTTCGAGCAGCTCTTTGGGTTCACCGAGGCCCTTCCCCGCAAAAGCGCTTGGTGGTAGTTGTCACAGCCGCTAAATAAGTCTGAGGTGGACTATGAAGGCACCAAGCAGCGGCTGAGAATACATAGATCCGATACTGGCATGTTGCTGGAGAGCCTGGTAAACAACACTCAGTACAATGTGGGTACGTTCGGCACTCCCAGCCTCCAGACTGCACTGCAAGCTTTCTGTGCAAGGGCAACGGAGAAGATATGCAAAACTAAGGCCTGGGTGAACTTCGCGCAGAATTCCAGAGCCTCAAAGCGGGGGAACGCGGGCAAGGACGACTCCAGGTGCAGAATGAACCTCAGCCTTGAATGGTTTGGTGCAGAACTTGGAACGAATTTATCTAACAGGGCTCAGTGCAGTCCGTGCAAGGTTTCATCCCTTTTGCATTGGTTGACATTAAGTTATAGGGTATGCGGAGGGCCATCTCAACAGTGACTGGACTGCACTAAGGAGATTGGGGATGTGGCAGCCAAGCATGCCCTCCCTGCCAACAGGCATTCAACTTTTCAGGTGGCCTCGCAGTTCAACTGCCTAGAGTTTGTGGGGCCATCAGTGACCCCAGAGGATGGAATCACAGGGTATGTGCGGGACCGCACTCAAGGCCCAGCTTGTTCGATTGCCTGCGGCGCTGCAACGGCATATCGGAACTACTTTGCTCCTGTTCGTGGCGCTGGTGAGGAGGGGCAAACAGCAAAGAGGCAGATCAACAACCTGGAAGACTTCTGCACTGAGATGGACAGGAAATCGGCGAAGCGGAGACGTGATGGCGAGGAACCGCTGTTTCGTTGCATTGGCAGCCAGTTCCTAGAGGTGCGAGGGGGGTATACGCTTTCCTCTCACAGGCAGCTGGAGCACCTCAACGCCATGTTGGCCCAGTTGAAGGAAGATGAGTTGGACATGCTGCGGGAAAAGCTGCGAGTCGGGGTGCACGCTGATGTGCAGGTCACCTCGCACGCTTGGGGAGCGAAATCGGTCAAGGATGCATCCCAGACAGTCACGCAGGTGTTCGGATCGGCTTGCTCGGTCGCATACAACAGAGAAACCCGGATTGGACTGGCTCATGTGCACATCACAAGGGATGCACACATATGGAGAGACCGAGAGTGGAGTGATAGACTTCTGAGATCCAGGTGAGAACAAGCCCTTGCCTTGGGAAGCCCACTCACTCAGTAGTGCTTGTCAACTAATGCAGCAGCATGCGCATGTGAAGGCGGAACAATGGTCTCGATGTTTGTCTTTTGACGAGGAATTTGGACCAACAGCTTGGAGAACACAAGAACGAGAAGTGACAGGAGGAGTGATATATACATATATATATATGTATATATATATATATATTGTTGCGGCATGTAAAGTGCACCAAAAGTTGAGCAGTACTGTACAGACTTTCCTTCAGGGAGCAAGCCCAGTCACGGAATGGTGCAGTACGGGGGTGTACCTAGATACGGTGCTCGCATGGTGGGCTGACAACAGGCTTCCCTAGGGGTGAGAGCGCTGTCAGGTGCAAATTTAAAGCAAGTGTTGGGGGCCTGTAGTATGGTCCTCGCCGGGATCATGTGTTACAGCTCTGATCAAGACGTGCTACCGGGTGAAATGGGTATCTTTTGGGATTGCGCGCAGGAAATTCAGATGGAAGAAGCAGAAGAAGAGGAACCAGGAAAAGACGTAGAAACAGAGTTTGAAAAGCGGTTTTTTTAAGGACAGCGGACAGCCAGACTGGGAGCCCTTGGCTCGACTTGTCTTGGAGGCATCCTACGAGGCAACGCTCCTCGCGGCGCTTCGACAGGCCAGGAAGCACGGAGGACTCCATGGTTCACGGCGTGTGTGCCTCGGCAGATCTCGCTCGCCAGCTGTCCCGTTTCGCGGTACGAAAGGAGCTTTGAAGCTTTTGTGCATTTGTGCATGGCAAGGTTTTTGACTTGCCTGGGCGGTGGCGTGTTTGGGAACTCAATGACCTGGATTGCTGACGCGATGCGACGGGCATTTGTTTGCCTACAGGATGAGGACCTGCATGTCCGCATTGTTACCTACGCAGGCTCACCACCTCCGGACCTCTTGCGTTTAGAGCAGGATCCTTTCGGCACTGGCTCCGGAACGTAGTTGTGCGGCTTTCTGCAACTTGACTTGTAGTCGTGGCGAGGTTCTGATGCACACTTCTACCAGCCTCGGCTACAGCGCTCTCGCCTTGGTGTTCCACTCCGGCCACAAGCTGACCTCGCCAGCAGGGTCCATGGGCTGACAAGTCACTACAGAAGCACCTTGTGAGTCACGGTGGCAGTTAGCAGCGTGGTGCCCAAACGTGTGACAGGAGTAGCAGCTCCATTAATGCCACACGATGACACAAGCGGATTTAGGGCTGGTGCTAGTGCCTCACTGGGCAGAGGGGTCGCTTGTGACTTCTCCCGGGGGTCGTTTGTGACTTCTCGTTTTTTGTCGTCGCGAAATGCAGAACTGTCATCGTTTTCGGACTTGTGATTCCTCGACACCTTACAGTAGCAGGCTTGTGCTGCTTGTAAAATGCATAACTGTCATTGTTTTTGGATTTGTGATTCCTCGAACCTTGAATGTTGCGTGCGTGTTCGCCTCGTAAACGCATATTTGTCGTCGTTTTCGGAACTTGATTCTTCGACTTTTGACAATGATAGTTGCGGTCGTGCTCACGTGGTAAAATCCAGAAGTCGTCGGCTTGAGAGTTTTGATTCCTCGACCCCCCCACTCAAACCATGAACCCTAATGCTGGACTCCATACATTTGAGCTTACTCGAAAACCTAATGCTCATTTCCGGGAAAACGTGATCTACCGCCTGCAACACTGTAGGCCCAACATCTTCACCCCTGAAGCCTGGGCCCCCAACCGTAAAAATGGCGAACACTGACCCCCAAAAACATCCCTCAACACCTAGACCCTTCCATGCCCTAAGCCCTAAACCCTAAACCCCCTGACCTTAAACCCTAATCCCTGAACCCTAAGCCCCTTAACCCTAAACCCCCTAACCCTAAACCCTCTAGCCACCCTACACCTAACCCTAAACTCATGGCATAGGCCGCCCACCTTCGATGGGGCGGCGGTTAAGCGCCTCGACATCGATGGCACAGGTCAATCCACGACGCTCGCCTGCCTTCCCACAGCCAGGGCTACAGGGCCTCCCGGCCCCTCCCAGCACCTTGTACAGGCCCCAAACTCCAACATTCCAGTCAGTCCAGCTTTGAAGAAGGGCAGCCCCAGCCCTTCAAAGCCCAAGACCCCAACGCAGATGTCCAGCCCCTGTCAGGGTGTTCCAAGCACGTACCTCGACTCTTTTGGGGGAGGCCTAGCCATTCCAGAAAACCAGCCTTGAAATTCTTGAGACGAAGTAAGTATGTTGCTGAATAATGTTATAATGACCATGATGGACCTAGCTGAGTTTAGGTCCTAAACCCTAAAAGGTATAGGTTTGGGTGGTTTGCCGCCTGGACGGCATGTGTCTGCTTGCACCACTGAGGTTAGGTAGTTTAATTGCTTGTTGGCAATCTTTTGAAGGAAAGGTTGCACAGGCCCTCCAGGACCGTGCCAATCAGGCATCCCCAGGGACAAACTTGGCCTTGGAGAAAAGGTCCGACAAAAAGAACAGAACCTATAATCCCTAAACCCCTGAACCTGAAACCCCGAACCCTAGGCCCATTACCAGGATCCTTAAACCTTCACCCTGTAGGGTCTCCATGTAATCCCAGAACCTCCAACCACAACCCCAAACCCAGCCCCACACCCTTACCCCTAAACCCTTAATTCCAATCCTAACCCCAGAAAGCCCTGTTACCTCCAATCCCTGAAGGCCCACCCAGTAACCGTGAACCACTTGTGAACCTAACCCCAAGCCCCAAATGCCCCGACGCGAGCCTGGGGCTAACCTTGCAACACCTGTAAGCTCAACACCTTCACCCTAAATCGTTGCAGTCTTGGCCCCCGAGCCCAAAAAATGCGAACATTGACCCTGAAGACATGCCAGCCCAGGGGCCAGTTCTCAAGGGGAAAAAATCATGTATCAATTTCCCGGAAAAACGTGCCCTACCTGCAACACCTATAAGCCCAAAACCTTCACCCTAAATCGTTGAAGTCTTGGACCCCGAGGCCCAAAGCCGCGAACATTGACCCTGAAAACATGCCAGCCCAGGGGCCAGTTCTCAGGGTAAAAACTTCGTATATTTTTTGCCTGGAAATACGGGCTCCACCTGAAAACCGACAAACCTCATAAACTCACGCCCCAAATGGTGGAAACCGTAGCCCCTGGCCTCGCCAACCAGCAGAATCCAATCCCTGAACCCAAGCCCAACACCCTGAAACCCCTAATCCCTGAACCCTACACCCTAAAGCGCCAATGTAGCCTGGCCCCTAAAACCCTAGATACCCGCAACTGAGACTTGAACCTTAGACTCTAACCTAAGCCTGTGAGCCCTGAACCTTAAACAACCACAAACCCCCACCATGACAGGCCGTTAGACGCTAAACCCGAAGCCTTGTCCTAAACCGTAAAACTCTGATGCCATGGTGGCACAACAGTGGGAGGATTGGTGCATGGCCTCTGAACTCGGGAAGGCATCGTCATCTTTTTTGCAGAATAGAACAGATGCTGCAACTCAGACCGCTCCTTGACATGCCCCGGAAAGAGATGACAACAATGTAGGCGGCAATAGTGCTCGTGGATCGGCACCCCTAACGCTCCGCCGTTCTTCTTGGGCCTGTCTGTGGTGCAGATGGTGATGCTCAGCTTGGAGTTCAGGGACGAGGGCAAGAAGGAGATCTACATGCTGTACATGTTCACTCTGCTCCTGTGCAGTGCAGTGCATGCTCCTGTCTCTGTATCCGATGGTGTACCTGCTGATGCTCAATGCTCATCAGTCATCGCTCAATATCCCAGGAAATGGTTGCAGCATATGTAAAATACGCTAGAAGTGCGATATGAGGTTCCGCTCTTGCTGGTTTAGTCTTCGCTACGGCGGCACCACGCGTATATGCAGGTTTCGGGCTCTCCCCCATGTAGGCGCTACGAGCGTCGAGGGCACGGCTTGGCGAAAGGAGGAAATCCGCGCCTGTAGGACTCATCTCAAACCTTTTCTAGTCCCAGGGAGTGACAGTTGAGTGACATGTCTAGATGCATTGCAGTGTTTGCTCCAGATGCATACTGCCAGCGTGCCAAAAATTCTAAATCGTGAGGCAGAATATGCGCTAGGTTGGCGCTAGCATCGCGCTAGCAAATATAAACGGAAACGGCCTGCGGTGACCACTTTGCCATCTAAGACATAAAGCAGTACTAAGACGTCTGATTCCAAACATGGCCGGCATGGAAGAGCTGGCGGGGGCTATCCTCAGCGAAATCCTAGACCCTACATTCCCACACGGCCCGCTGAACCTGCCCGCGTCTAGTACGAGGGTGGTCAGACATCGAAAATACACTTCAGTCTACACACCGTTGGGCAGAACCGATGGAGAACGGACGACGACAGCTCCTGGAGACGACGGGCAAGTCCTAAAATGAAGGCGCTAGTGTGTTTTGTGAGGTTTCGGCAAAGGGAACAAGAGTCAGTACTACTCTCGTTACGTGCCAAAGCCATCATTCGTGGTAACGCTGTTGCCGAAAGTTATGCCACCATCATCTGCAAAACAACTCCGGCCTATAGCACTGGCCTCACATGTATCGAAGGCCTATGCACGACTACTCGTGAGGAGGCTCAAGGGGGAACTCAGGCCACAAGGAGAACATCAGCTGGCGGGGGAGAATCGACAAGCAGCAGACTTTGTTTCTGTAGCGGTGAAACTCACTCACCTGTGTCGGGAATGGCAAGCCGACTGCTACATATTGAAACTGGATTTGCAACGTGCCTTTGATTCAGTGAATAGAGTGCGATTGGCTACCAAGCTCTGCGAGTGGTCGGGTCACACAAAGCCCCATGAAACCCGCAGTCTCATCAGACTGCTGGCGAGTACGGACCTTATCCTTCATCTCCCATGGGAACAGCACAGCATCATCAGCAATGTCGGGGTCAAGCAAGGTGCCACAGAATCACCGGTCTTGTTTGCTAGACTACTGGATGACCTGATGAACAGGGTTGCCCTGGCAGATGATGACAAAGTCCTGGATGATTTGCCTCATGACAGTGCAGTTTTCATGGACGATGTTCTTGCATGGAAGCACTCAATCAATGGTCTCCAGAGATATGTTGATCGGTTGTTGCCCCTCTTCGCGGATTTTGGCCTGGTGGTGCAACCTGCCAAATGCAAGCTCCTTTGCCTGCGTGGGTCTAGAGCGGTGGTCCTAATGCTGGATGGGAAACCGATTAAGCCGTTGCCGGAGGATGAGGTCCTAAGTGTTATGAACCTCCCCCTGGGCCTTGTCTGCACTGAGCAGAATGTCCTGGAAGCCATGGTCGATAAGGCCAGAGGGAAGTTCTATGGTATATCTCACATCTTGTGTTCCAATGCGCCCTTGACTGCAAGATTCAGAGTGCTGCATGCTGTGGTCTTTGGCGCCATCCGATGGGGTTTAGGAGTCCTAGTCCCTACTCCCCAGGCCCAGCAGCTCCTTAATTTCTTCCAGTACAACTGCATTAGGAGAATGCTGGGAATCCGCAGGGTTGCGACCGAAACTTGGCCGGAGTATGAGGCGAGGAGTCTTCGTATAGCCAGGGCTAAAGTCTACCAGATGAAATGGAAGAGATGGGGCGACAGGCACCTTGAAGCTTTTTGGCGTTATACTGGACATGGCGTTAGAGAAGGGCAACGTGATGGGGCAACAATAGCTGGGGTTTTGGCACACTTCCGGCCGCTCACGTGGTGGGATCAACAACAAAGAGGGTGCAACGGTGCAAGGCACCACAGGCACTTTCCGCATCTCATGAACACGGAGCGCAAGATATCCAGGGTAACAGGGTCATTTGCTTGGAGGGTGGCCGCCGCCAACCGTGCACAATGGCAAGGGCTTGAAGGGTCGTGGGTTGAACAGGAAAGCGTCGCATGGTCGTCAGGTAGGCAACCAGCGCTGACAGCATGAAGAGCACCTATGCGAATGAATTGTGGATCAGTTCTGCAGTGACGGCATAGCCCTCAGATTGTAAGCGTCTGATCG